AGACGTATTTACGGTCTGGATAGCGGTTGAAACCCCACCCGATAAGTTCAAGTTGATGCAGAGAATTCCTATAGAGCTAAGGGAAACGAGGCATGGAACATTATATCTATTCAATATTTGCAATGACCACCTGCCAAGCACTGATCATACCCAGCTTACCACCGAATAAACTAGAATACTGGCACATATCCAGTCTATAGCATAGGGGAGGAAAGGAAGAACTGACTAGTCGTAGTAGGCCTGCAAGATCTGGTTCGCAAGCTGCCCTATCATGATATAGTTACTTGTCGCCAATTAGTACCGAGGATACAGGCACAGACCATTCATGTTTGGACCCAAGGGGATCACGGCAAGACTATGTAGCGAGCCAAATACTGCAAGGCAAATATACTACCGTTGGTTGACCTTTAAACCATATCTAGCGGGATGAACACCGATTGGCAAAATACGAGAGGTATAAGATAGAAAAGACGAAGGAAAAAGAAGAGAAGAAAAGATGAAGCCAGATAGGGGATCGGTACGAGGCCCTGATTGTAGTCCTGATAAGGAGCTGATTTAAAAAAAAGTTCTGTTCGTGTGTATGTGTTGTTGGTGGGGGATTTGGAGAGTGCGCGCAAAGGGGACTCTTTGGGTAGTGAAGAGGCAAGTAGACAAAATAACAAGGAGAATGAAGAAACGAAAAAGGGGGGTGGAGATTGGACTGGTCCCAGGGCAAGGAAAGCACCGTCCTCAAAAAGTGAAAGGGGACGCCAGAAAGTCTGAGCCAGGGGTCTCGAAGGGGAGGGGATTCCGAAAGCGCACCAGGAAACAAATCTCATTTCCCCATCCCTAGGCCGCGAGGCCCTGGGTCCGAAGAATTGAAAACGTATAACCAATGCATCTTGACCATCCTTTTCCGTTCTTGCCCTGTTTAACTTCCTTGCACCGGGAGACCCATCGCGCAGCTCCCTCTTGGTTGTCCCATCCACCCCAAGGACGTGAGTCCATCATCAAGGTCTTTTTAAATTTCCGTTTACTCGGCGGGCTTCTCACCCTCCTGGGCGGGAGCCTCCTCCTTCTTCTCGGCGGGGGCACCCTCCTGGGAAGGCTCGGCCTGGGAAGAGGTCCAGAGAGTCTATGAAAGAGTTAGACAGGTGAATCTAGGAAAAGCGACACAAAGGTTAACCTACCAGGTTGTCACGGAGGAGCTGCATGATAAGAGTGGAGTCCTTGTAGCTCTCCTCGCTCAGGGTGTCAAGCTCTGTAGGAATGAGTTAGTCACATGAACGTTATTAGGTATCAATGGAGTTGGCGCAAACTGACCAGCAATGGCATCATCGAAAGCCAGCTTGGCGAGGTGGCAGGCCTGGTCGGGGGAGTTCAGGATCTCGTAGTAGAAGACCGAGAAGTTCAAGGCCAGTCCGAGGCGGATGGGGTGGGTAGGGGCGAGGTCAGTGGAAGCGATCTCGGTAGCGGCCTTGTAGGCCTCAAGGGAGTAATCAGCGGCACCCTTGCGGCGGTCGCCGATGGCGAACTCGGCAAGGTAACGGTGGTAGTCACCCTTCATCTTGTGGTAGAAGACCTTGGACTCGCCGCTCTGGGCAGACTTAATCAGGTGGTCGTCGAGAACCTCGAGGATGTCGTCACAGATCTTGGCCAGCTCAGCCTCGATCTTTTGGCGGTACTCCTTGATCAGAGTGACCTGGCCCTCGTTACCCTTGGACTCCTCCTTCTGCTCAATGGAGGTGACGATTCTCCAGGACGCACGGCGGGCACCGATGACGTTCTTGTAGGCGACAGACAGGAGATTGCGCTCCTCAACGGTGAGCTCAACATCGGCCGAAGCAACGATCTTCATGTTCTCAACCATCTCTAGAGTGAGCGTCAGTCATCTGCCTTTGCGGGACAGGGTTCCTTTCCCCTTAAAGTTGAAAATGGGAGGCATAGCATACCCTCATAGCGTTCGGCCTGCTCGGCCAGCTTGGCGAGATAAACAGCGTCTTCTTGACCCATTGTGAAATTTTCTAGAATTATCAGAATTTCAGATTAGTCTTTATCCTGATTATGAGCGATAACAGCAAATATGAATGTGGTTGTAGAGATGGAACTGGAATCACGCCATCGACATCATCGCCAGCGACCGGGAGGGGTAGAATCCGCTGACTGCCCTCGATCAGGGACGAGGGGCCATATGCGCTCCATTTTGCATCCCAGGGTGTCTCTGATCCAATCGAGATGTCCCTTTGGACTCCAGTGGTGAATATCACAAGGATCATGGTTTGTTGAGGTACTGGGCGTCGCTGACGTGCGTCGGGGGCTGTGGGTGTTTTTGAAGGGGATCACAGCGTAGCGGTCGCGGCAGCGGACCCGCAAGTAAACAAGGGAACGAGGACGAATGAAGTTCTCTTGCCAGGGAGAAGCGATGCGATCCCGGCGAAGGAGGTATTTCGGGAAATTTGGATGTCCCTCTTGGTCTTGAAGAGGGCAGGAATGCCCCAGGTCCAATGAAGCCCGAGTCGAATGGTTGTGTGGGTTTGGGGGGGAGGGAGTTGTGTGGTGATTTCCAAGGCGGGGAAGAGGCAAACTGATAGAAACAAATTGGGACGAGACAAACTCACCTGAAATTGAAAGAGAGAGAGAAAAGGTATAGAGAAGTAGATAGGGGGGGGAGTGGATGGAGTAGGAAGAGAAGGGGAAAGTTGAGGGAGGAAGATGAGTGACAGTCTGGGAAAGGAGGGGGAGGGCGGTGGGTGTTGTTTGGTGTTGGGATTGGGTTGACCTTACACTACACTATTGCTTTGACTGTGGACTATTACCACTACCACTACTCCGATGGCCCATGTGCCATCTTCCATTGCTCTCTGTTTCTCTGCACAAGCAGTTCTCTTTACTTTCTTAGGTAGAGGCTGTGCTCTCACCCATCGTGCTCCTGCTACTCCTCCTGCTGGTGACTGTACCTCACCTTCTGTGTGGTTCGGTGGACCTAGCGTCATCGTGGCTACCATAATCCCCCCCATCCCGCGCCAATCGCCCCCCCTTAACCACTTGTTACTCCCCGGGTACATCCAAGGCAGACAGAGCCCTACTTCCCTCATTTCTTTGAAACACATCCATCTACCCACTAGCAACCGAGGGCCTCCCTGGTCCAGACCTGATCGATTCCGATCTTCGTACGAGTAGATCCTATAGTTTTCTTCCGTACAGAACATTAACCTTCGAATGTGGTGTACAGTATTGGCATTGAGGAGTTTATTTAGTTACAATGTATACAATTGTCCGCACTGAACTCCGTACTCCGTACTCACCCAGGCTAATCCCCCCTCCCCTCATGATCTGCCTTGCCGAGTCGAATGAGAGAGCCTGAACTTATCGCAGAGATTTCTGCTGACATAATGCATTATCTAATCGCACCCCGGATAGATCACCTGACAGGCCTTGGCATGTGTCGTCATGGGTGGTGAGGTCAAGGTCACCTGTCCAAGCTACTAGTACCCCTGCTTACTTCCCCGAACTTGAATATCATCCAATACTACTTCCCCTTCCAATCCTTCTCTTTGATTTTAAGATATCATCACCATTCACCATTTACAATGCTCCGCCAATCCATCACCCGACCGGCTGTTCTTGCCAACCGTGCCCTCTGCCAGCGCTCGTTCTCTGCTATCGCCCCCCGAATGGGTGAGGGTGACACTGGTGCCCCTCGATCCGGAGGCGGCGGCACCTCAGGGTACGTGGCCAATCCCCCAAATACCTCATTCACTGCATCATATCTCCCTTGTGATGTGGATGCTGTGGCGTTATCTGCGTTGTCGACCGCATGGCGTGTCCGCTATGTCGCTGCTGGATGACATCATTAATCGCTGACATTCGTTGCCTTACAGCGATGCGTTTACCAAGCGTGAGGCTGCCCAGGAAGCCCTGTATATCCGTGAGAAGGAACTTGAGAAGTAAGTCACTCGGGTGGAAGTCACTTCGGAATCCGTCAACAAAGACATGGGGCTAATAACCATCGGGTGGATAGGCTCCACGCCCTGAAGAATAAGATCACCGATCAGCGCGCTCATCTGGACGAACTTGAGAACCACATGTATGTCCTTGCTTCACCTTGCTCCCCCTCTATTTGGCCACCTTACATTGCCTTCCATTACTCTCGCCATCTTGTTGGAACAAATGCTAACCTCCCTCTAGCAACCAGTTGACCAAGGACCAGGGCAAGAAATAAAGCTCTTGCACTGAATAATCGCACTGCCTCGCATCATGAGCCTTGTCTGTTGTAACATAAGATCTCCTCTCCAGTTACCGGGCCTCCTTTGATTTTGTGATTGTGCTCGTGTTAAAGCGGCATGACTAGACAAGACCGAATATTTGTTATAGCATATCAGGAGTCCCTCCATTCATGAAATATTATCCTGTATCTCTCTTCATAGGCCACCTGGGCATGTAGGGATAGGCTTTCGAAGTCCCCCACAAATGCACTGCGTAGTATCATGCTCGATCTCCTGCGGGTGGATAGTACTAGTACCCGGTAAGCTAGTATTAGGTTCACGCCGAATCCACCTGGACATGCAAGTAACTTGAACTACACTACTAGTAGTAGTTATCGGTAGGGTGAAGTGCCTACTAGTAACCATGGTCTCTTTTTCGAATTTGCCTTTTACCTTAGTATCACCTTCAGAAACCTGCCAATCTGAACCCCACTAAATATTGAAAATAAACGCATTGAGGTTGATAAGATGGAATGCAAAGAGTGCAAATGACATGCGTTCCGATGGTTGCCCGGCCCAACTGCTTGTTGGTAAACTTTGCCAAGACGCGCTGGATCGTCATTTTTCGACCTTACTTGCACTCATCCCACCTTTAAAACACCAGTTTACTCCGCATCGCTCAATCACTAAGCCAATCCCTCGACGATTGCTTCCCTGCTGTGATAAATAATGTCTCACGCTATTCCTTAATTCAACTAAGTCTCTAACGCGGCCCGATTATCCTGCCCTCTGACTCGAAGCGCGTCGCTGGTCACGATGGCGAGCTCTGCCGAAGTGATCGTGCTGTCCTCCTCGCCTAACCCTTTCTCACGAACTCCGACAAGGCCACTACGAAATTCCGAGAAGCTCCTTGATGGCTCGCCACGAGGAGCGTCCCCACCATCTCTTCCGTCACCTCCAGAGCTGTTCAACCCTCCGTCACGCTCTCGATCCTTCCCCACCCCAAAGACGACAGATATTGCGACCAAGAAGAAGCCACGGGCGACGAAAAAGCCTGCCGCTTCAGCTTCCCTCGACCAAAATGACCCAGCCAAGTCGAAATCAATGGTAGCGAGCATAGCATCGAAGACAGACTCCACCAGAAATGCCAATCCTAAGATCCAAGATACCGCAGACAACGGGGCAAAGAAGGGCAAAGGGCCACAGAAGAGTCATACCAAAACAAGCACCAAGAAAAAAGAGACAGGCAACATGACGTTAACTGGGAAGGTTACCAAAGGAGGAAGCAGTGATCAACCAAAGGAACCGAGCAAACGAAAGAAGAAGACGACTGCGCCGAGCGAGAGGCCCGATGAGCCTATCGATACAAGTACTCTTCAAGGCTCCGAAGTCGACATGAAAGATAGGGAGCTACATCTAGACGAAGCTTTGAGGAGGAGAATGGATTGGACACCACCGAGAGATACTTCCCCCAAGATAGGGCCGACGATGGAAGGCGAAGGAGATACGGAGAAGACTCCGGCACCAGCCATCACTGGTGGATTTGACAAGTTGCTGTCCAATTATAATTACTCTGGAACAGCTTCAGCTGTCCACGAAATGCCCCCAAATGCGGGTGATGGAGGTCCCACCAAGAGACGACGTATCGAGCTGGTGGATCCTTTGCTTCAGCCATACCAAGTATATCAAGCTGATTCAAATGGAGAAAGCTCGACCCAGGGTACAGATTCATCAACATCTGGTCCTAAGTCGAAAAAGAAACCAAAAGGCCCGAAACGATTAACGACATTGACCGCACGAATGACGGCGCAATATACTTCGAAAAATGCAAATGACGATGGCTCCGCTAGTAATGAACTTCAGGCCACCAGAAAGACCGTTTCTAAACGACGAGGCAAAGGAAAATCGACGGAGGACGAGATTGTTTTTACTGTTCTTTCACCCGAAGCAGCTTTCAGGTCTTTGGAGAATCAAGATCTCGTCTTTGGCACTTGTAGTCAACTCGAACGAGAGGATTCACCACATACACTGGACGAATTGCAGCAAGCTATACGTGCATCCGAGAAGCTTGCTTTTGACGGAAGCCAGCAGACTGCAACAGCCAAGGCCGTTTCGAAGGGCCATGTGTCCTACCTGCCCGGTACAAGAAACCTTTGGCAGTCTGCTGCGCGGAGTACTGAAGGGTCCCTGGTCCAGGCTCAAAGGATGGACGGCGTCAAGCTGGCAGGCTCAGCAGTAGCATCCAAGGAACCAAATTCCCAAACTAAGAGATCATTGAACTGGGAAGATGATGATGGCTGGTTTGAGCTTGACTATGGCAAGTCCAAACCTTCCCCAAAGCAGAAGACGCCAATGAGGGTCAATAGGCCAAAGTTTACAGCCGTGCCTGTGTCCTTGGAGCCCCAGGAACCGCCGGTAGAGGCTGATGAAGCTATTGCGAAGACGAATCCTAACGAAGAGGCAGTCTCTCAACAGCCACAGATGCCTCACTATAGCGGATTCACAGAGGCTGAGCTCACCAAACAGGTTGCGGCCTTTGGCTTCAAATCAGTAAGGGGCCGCAAGAAGATGATAGAGCTATTACAGAAGTGCTGGGAGTCGAAACATGGCAATGGTAGTAAGACTACCCTTGTGCAGTCACAGGCCCAGCCTTCGTCACAAACCGACAATGTTATGAGGCTGTCCAATTCTACCCAGCCGCGTAGCCAAGATCTTACCCCACAACTGGAGACACTGAAAACAGCTACTCGGCCCAAAGGTCAGACCAAGAAGAAGACAGCATCAGCACCAAGCGCATCTTCACGCTCAGGACAAACGGACACGCGAACAGAAACCTTGGTTTCTGTCAACCCCAAGAAAGTTTCGAAACATACAGACAGATTCTCTCAAGCCTTGACATCGTCATTCATAGACGTCGAAGAGATTCAAGACTCCGAGGACGAGACCGCTCCATCGCCTAGTCAAGTCCAAAAGCGTTACCAGGAGATTTCGTCCACCACTTCTGATCTTGCTCCCGAACCATCTCTGGAAATTCGAACCAAGGAATTGACTACAAGTCCCACAAAACGCAAAGCGGTTGCCTCCAAATCTAAAGTCAAAGCCAAGTCCTCTTCATCTGCACCCTCCAAGTCCGACAACCCGGCTTTTTCGAAGCGCAGCAGTTTACCCGATCTCGCTTTCCAGATCACTAAGGCCGTACGCTCCCAACATCTGCTCTCGCCCCTCTCATCTTCAACTGGAAGCCGAAGCCGCCCAACGTGGCACGAGAAGATCCTCATGTACGACCCAGTTATTCTGGAAGATTTCACAACATGGCTGAACGTCGAAGGGCTTGGGCTTGTTGGGGAGGACAGGGAAGTCCATGCTGCAGCGGCTAGGGAATGGTGTGAAAACAAGGGGATCTGCTGTTGCTGGAAGAATAATGCTAGTTGGTGAGATACCTGTGTTTTGGGGCATTGGTGACCCCTTTTTGCATTCGAATTTTATGATACCCAATATTTTTACATTACTCAAGCAAATATGCAATCCTGATAGACCTGAATTTTGTCTGAACAGAACACTATCTGCACATCGTTTCGACGCTACTATCATGGCAACCAAGGCCTCGCACACACATACACCCCCATTCGTCCAACCATTATGGAGCTATTCAGGGAATGACATCCGATGAGCCACCGTTTCCATCAAGCCACCTTTCCAAACTATTCTAGGACATTGTAGAAAGGATATTAGGACAAAGGAAAGCAAAACAATAGGGACAACTATACCAGATCTTGTCCGGACATGTATGGGGTTTGACGTTCAAGTTGCTGTGGAGTGATTCCTTGATCCTGGCAATGAATGTATCGTTCAGCCAACATGATTCATAAATGAGGTCTCATAGTAAGGCAAGAAGAGATCAGTGTATCCCACCGTGTGCGTATGGAATGCTCCAGTATGTGGCACCAGGTCCAAATTTTGGGAAGGAGTACTCACCGAACGCATAATACCACGGTCTTGAGAAGGTTGGTACTCGCACGGGGTTCCAAGTTGTGCTCCCGGGGACTGATGATAAGGCAACAAATTCCGGATCTGTTCATTCAGGACATGGATCTGTTGATCTTTCTCTCGCAACTGACGCTGGAGCTTTCCGATATCCCGATTTAGTTGTCTGATGATGTTTCGAGGATGGGTTTGACCGGTGCTCGTATCGGTCATATTGCACGCTGTGCCCTGTCGAACGCAGTTGTTGCAGCTTTCTGGGTTCCCGTCGCAGGGAAGCTTTCGACACTAGAGATGAGACAGTTAGCTTTGGCCAATAGTATGAATAGGGATGAGATGAGGGGCGCTAGGAAGCTTGATGAGAGGAGAAAGAAGGAAGTCATTACATACCTTGCATCTATCACAAGCTCGTGATGTGCGCTTCCCACTAGGGTTTTCATGAAATCGTCTTCGTAATTCAGCAGAATAGTCACGCTCTGGGTCATATTTCCCTCGGCGGGTTTTCTTGGGGCGTGGTAGCATGGAAATATCTGGCATGGAAAGGTCCATCGAATCGGGAGACGAATGGACAGGAGGGGTGAAAAGATATTCACGTGGAAGGAAATCTTCCATGCTGCCAAAGTATGGCGAGATATGATGGGAGAGAGGAAGAGTAGATAGTGGATTTGCAAAATGAAGGGCTTAAATAGAAAGAGAGAGAAGCAAACTGGAAGAGATTTGGATGGAGGTATTTCGAACGTCACTTTCAAGTTCTTAGACGTATTGTAATCTAACAACTCTTCGTTCCCTTGAAACAGAGAGATCCTTCAAATTAGATGGACAGTTTCACCCGCACCAGGCATTTCAAGACACTAACACCAAGACCAGCTCCAGAGAAGTGGATTAGAAGCAGAATTTATAGAGCAAGACCCAGTTATACTTTCGATTGAATTCTGTTGCGAGACCTTGTACCTCAAATAATCATAGGTAGAACTACACAATGAAAAGAAATATTTTACAATAAACTCTCTTTACCAAGGGCTTGTCAAACATACTTGTATAGATTTCCAGCGAGATGGTTCGAGATGTCCATATCAATTGCATTGTAAGGAACAAAGAATCCAGGGATGACAAAGCCGTCAAACAATCTTGGTCGCACCTAGGCAGCGAGAACCCAGACAATGAATCACCTTCACGAATAGCTAGAATAAGGGCAAGTTGTGGAAGGATTAATCTCCCCCCTTTACTAGCAGGTGGAAGGTCTAAATCAAAAGTACTGAGTAGATTTAGTATCAGGATATGTAGAGTACAAGGACCCCGGAGACCCATCCAAAGAAACAATCAGGAAATAAAAAGATAGACAGTGCAGCATTATTTCATAATAAAATTCCAGAAGAAAGACCACCAGGCATTATTAAAAATCAAACCAAACCACAGCATATGCTTTCAATCTTTAAACTCCCGCCATGCTCGACCAGCCCAAGAACCAGATAATCCGTAACCCGAATCCGGAACCAGCAGCGCGCACCTTCCGCTGTCTGGAGTCAATCTATACGGGTCAAGCAAACAAGAAAAAAAAGGTAAAAGTGCCCCAGAAAACCCGTAACTCCCAAATTATAAGACATCGTCCTTAGAACTTCCAATGGTTGTGATAGAAACTAAACGAAGAGGTAATGCAAATGGATCCAGAATATGAACGAGTAAATCAAAAGGATGCTATATAGCAGTTGAGGAGGTAGACAAGCCGTATCAGTCTGAGAGGCATGTCAAAGACAGGGGACTTGTACGTTCCTGTACGCGTTGTGAAGTGCAAAACTCATAATGGCCGAGGGCGCTACCTCATCGAAAGTTTCTGCCATTTGTGGCAACTGTCTCAAATTCAACCCGGGGTTGATATCGCATTGGTCCATTGTCGTCGAGCCAGGGAGCGAGGTTCTTGCATTGACTGACGTCAAAGGTTCGGAGTTGATGGCAGCCTTCAGCCACTGCTTCAACACCCACTCCGGTGACCCGAACACAGCCTCGCACAGATAGATGTTGGAGGGAGAGAAGGTGAAGACCGATACTTCGAAGGGATGGATCGGAAATCGCGGACCCGCAAAACGACATGTTGAGATATTTCAATTGCGAGCATTGAAGGGCAAGAACTTCGGTGGCTGTGTCGGACAGTGCACAGCAAAATGACTGATAGGGTAGATTAGTATTCGATACTCAAGCTCAGTAGGAAGTGTTAGATCTCTTACCAGATCTAGTTCTTGCAGATTTTTGGCGGCATTCGTCAAATGCACGATAGCGTTGTCGGTCAGGTACGTGCAGTCCGCTAAGCACAGTCTTCGCAGATTGGTGAAGCGAGCATTTCCCCAGTACTGGAATCCTTGGTCCGTAATGGTGGTACAGCGAGTCAAGTCCATTTCTTCAATTCGACCCGCTGCATGTGACGCAATGTGGTGCATTGAGCGATCAGTTACATGCTTGCAATACGAGAGCGTAAGCTTTCTGAGCCGCGGACAGCCATAGACCAAACCATCTTTTGTCTGCATGGTTGGCTTAATGGATGCATTTTTGCCTTCGGTAGGCTTCTGGCCACCAGGCAACACCCATCCAACAATCCGGGCCATAAGAGTATCGCCTACTTTGCGGCAATTGCTCAAGTCCACTTCCTTCAACTCTGTTGCTTTGCTAGTCATTTCAAGGATAGCAGAAGCGGTCACATCCCAAACGCTCTTCATCTTCCATGTTGTGGCATTGGGTGCGCATGTATTGGCTAATGCGTTGAAGCCTTCATCAGTGATATGAAAGCAGTTATTGACATTCACCGAATTGGGGCGATTGCCAACAAATGGGCAAATGATTTTCACAAGAGCGTCATCAGTGAGTTGGCGGTTATATACACTCAAGTCGAGATCACGAATCACTTCAGGAGACCTGGTGAGAATTTCAGACCAGTGAGAAGACACTGCACGTAGTCGAAGCAAGTGATGGAGTTCAAGAAATTTGAAAATTTTCAGGAGGACGCTGTCAGGGAAGATTCCATGGTGACCGTCACTGGAAGGGCGCGGCACTTGATGTGGGTTTGACAGGCCAAGTGTGTCTGGAAGTGCAAGAGAAGTCGAGCTGGCCGACCGCGGTTCCGTCGGAGATTGCCTTTGGTACTCACCAGTGACTTCTTCTGGTGTCAAAGGTGCTACTGAGCCTCGGCGACTTCGAAGTCGGACTTTGTCCAAACCAAGACTGAGATATGGATCGGGATCTGATGGTCGCAGTACTGCTTGCTCTTGGTCTTCGACCGGCGAAGACTGATGCGGACCATCTAATTCAGTCTCTGTCAGGGTCAATAACGGCATTGACTTTCTCCGAGAAGAGGCTCGATCGTCAAATTCCAAGTCACCCAAAGGAGGCTGTTCGTTTGTTGCATCTGTCATGACTACATCGCCGTCGGAAGTTGTTTGAAGTCTTTCTTGAGCGGTGCGTTCTACCGATTCACGGATGTCACTCGGGCACATTTCCCAAAACTGAGAGAGGACCTCCCCACTGAGCATCAAACATTCGACCGATGTGACTGAGCGGACGGTCGCTGTTCTTCGAGGCGCAAGCGACAAACTGACCACTTCACCAAAGTATTGCCCTTGTTTAAGCCGAGCCTTGATCTCCGTCCTCGTACGATCGGATCCATTCGGTTTGTGATTTAAGTCGTCATTGGGTTCGGCTTTTTCGGTAACGACCTCTACCTCACCTCGTACGATGAAGTAGAGTTCGCGTCCCTGGGAGTCCTGTCGGATGATGTCCGTAAATGGAGAGAATGAGCGCGGTTGCGCATTAAGACCCAAGAAGTGGAGTATATCGGGTGGTAGACCGGAGAATAAAGGCAGCTCTTTGAGAAGGAGACGAACGTTCACTAGGCCATTTGCAAGAGCACTGGAAGCATCTCGCCGCCCCGGACTCGGTGATTTTCGCTTTTTATGTACTGAATTGACGCTTAAGTCTTCCTCGGCAGCGATCAGGTCTTTGGCGTGGTTCTCCCTCAATCGTTTCGATCCTCTTCGCATCGGGCTCGGAATTCTTGGGGGATCTAGATCCACGGCGGGCGCAGATGTCTCTTTCTTTTTCTTTTCAAGGATCATGAGCCGCTCCTGAGCTTCTTCTCTGATTGCCTGTTCGACCTCGGGGAAGCGCGGTAAAATATTGCGAAAATCTTCCTTGGTGAGCACGACCAGCATGCATCGTGTCCGGGCGATGATTGTTGCTGTGCGTGGACGATCCATCAACACACCAATTTCTCCAAAAAAGGCACCGGGTTGGAGCTCAGCATATATGCTCTCACCGTCTCGTGATGTGACCGAGACGGCGCCGCGCACCAACCAGTACATCGCCTTTGCATCATCACCCTCGGTCAAGATATAGTCGTTGGGGGCGTGGAGTTGTGGGCGCAGGTGTTGACCGACCTCAAACAAGAAGGATTCTGGGACGGCCTGGAAGAGAGGGAAGGAGCGCAACCTATCGACTAGTTCGAGTGGGAGAGCTTTGATGTTGGAGGAGGCTAAAGGTGAAGGTCGCGCAGGACGGTTGGGGTTCAAGACTGAGTCGAAGGAATGGATCAGAGAGACGGTGTCGGACATGGCTGAAACGGCCTTGGTCGGGCCTCCAGATCTGCCATGGCGACGCATCGTGGGTAGTTGGCACTGTAGAGGGGGAAGTTCAGATGAAAGAGGCGACCGGGGCTTCCAGCTCCAGCATCAATAGAACGATGACGTCGACGAGAATAGCAGCAGCAGAGTCGAGCTCCGCGTCGGCATCGCATCCACACCCAATGGGTAGATCGTCGGCGCTAGCAGAACGGCATGTGCGCAGGGGGGAAGAGCTGGAGGGGTAGTTGACAACGGTGAAGGATGTCGGAGCTGGGGGGGGTCCCTTCAGGTGAAGGTGGGGGGAGTTGCCAACTCTGCGACGTCAAATGCGGTTGAGCTCCACCGATCATCTGGAAAGCTTCGGAAACTCTATGACAACCTTCATAGTGCTCCACCTTGGCCAGATCGGATTTCTTCAACTCTTTTCTTTGTCCACCGATGGGACTTACGAGTTGATGGGTGCGGCTCTGTTAATGGTAAATCGGTCAATCCTGATCGGTTTATTGCATTGTGGTGGCTTACTACGGAGTACAAAAGGGTTAAGAAGAGCTCGGAGAAGCAAATACAATTACGGTGTGAGTACAGGTGGAGCAATTGGATGATAGATATTCTGGTAGGACTTTTTCCTTCATAAATCTTCCCTCCGAAAGCTAGATACGGTCGATTACTGTGTACACGTAGAAGCCATCGCATTATTTCTCAGGGTTTGCCTCCACTACACAAGTTCAAACTGACAAAAAAGCAATTAACACGGATAGAGAAAAAAAAAGCCACACTCAGCCCTGTACTTAACCATAGCAGATCATTTTGTGACCTTGTGCAGTACTTTTGACAGCTATTGTGTCCAGATCGATTGGGTTCGCAGCTCGCTGGGAACAGGCAGATGCAATGCAAGAGGTCACGTGCCATCAATACTCTACGTGGGAAACAGAGCTGAACAGAGCTGAACAGAGCTGGCCGGGCTAGAAGCACATGAACATAAATAAAGAGAAGATTTCTTCACATGAAATAGTACAATAGGGTATCAAACTGTAGATAGTACATCGGAAAATAGAAAGATGTGAAACCCGGACACCCATGGATTCTGTCCCGGAACTCACCGATCGGGGTTTCCGGGGGAGTTGAAAGACTCCAAATAGGAATGTCTGGCGCTCAAAAGGGGTCTCTTGAGTTTTAGTTGCGGGGAGCTTTGAGACTGTCCTCAATACGTATTCCCAGCATAGATGCAGCGGCGTGCATGGTTGTTTGATCCATGTCTCGGTACACAACCAGAAACGCGTGGTCAAAACGGACTCCAAAGGGATTATCTGCAATAGCGACACTATCTTTCAGCCAGTTCAATGGGCTGAGATAGGTGTTATCAGACCGGAAGACATAGCAGCCTAGGAGGTGGAAGGTGCATGTATGGGGTTGTTCCAGCTCAGACAGGGTTTCCATCTGTAGCTTGTGGTCCCCGTTTGCCCAGGAGAAAATCCATATATGCAGGGTGGTTTCCCTTCAGTGATTCCAAGGCATCTTGCACCAATCCATAACCAAGTCCAAACTTCAATCCGAGCTTCGCGGTACGGGCGGCAGTGTACACATCGTGACGAGCTGGGAGACAAGTCCAGTTAGCCCTGGCCCATGTGATAGGAATGGGGAAGAACGAGGTCATCGCTCTAGCGTTAACACTTACCCAGCAAACTGTATACCCCAGAGAGCGACAATCCCGCCGTCACCGTAGAGAGAAAGTCCCGCTTCTCGTGGCGAGCATAGTCCACGGTTTCTTCAAAAAGACAAAACAGGAGCGAACCAGCCCCTAGCCTAGATGCCAATTTAACACCGTCTTTCATACCGCCGACAATTGAAATATAGTTCTTCGTTTTGTGGTACTGCCACCAGCCGGTTGAGGTTGTTGGAAATCGATGTGCGTTTTCTGCTCGAAATTGAAGGCCTGCCTTCTTGCTTCCGTGAACATAACCTAGCGCCACGCCGACCGATATCCCAGACAAGGTCGCATAAGGGATACGCCTGCTGACATCAATGCCTAAACGTGGAGGGCTGTCGGATTCGAAGAGCTTGTCCCAATGAATGAGCCTCATCAGCACAGCGCCGCGCATAGTGGGCGCGGATGATGGCGAAGAAGACTCATTTTGCGGCTGGCTGTCCTCCATGTCGGGGACTGGTGGCATTGGGAGACCAACTCGTTGAGGTTGAATGATCAATCTTCTGAGGGGGGATCACAAGTGAGAGGGAAGTTCCATCCAATTCGGAGATGGGCAATGCAGCACGGCAAGCGGCAATAAACCACCGTGCCGCCGCTCTCCACTCCGCCTCCGTCACCGTCTCAAGCTGTGCAGGTCTAGTTTCAACGCAAGTTTGCCAATTTCAAATACGCTCTACAATATGGTATGCTATATGCTTACTTTTGATTTAATCCTGGATAACCCCCATGAACGAAGCTAACTTGCTACATACCAGCCACCCAAAAAGACTAATTCGGACTCAAGGTCTGTGACCATACTCTTCAAGAAGAACAAAACCACGATTCTCCTCTCCCTGCAGCCCCACGAACAGCTCCAAGCCGTGAAACAGAAGGTGCTACAAGCCCTTAAGGAGCGCGACGTCCGTGAAATCAACGGCGATATTGTCCCCGACGATCCAGCTGAGATCGAGTTCGGCATTCCGATTGACCGCAGTGATCTGGAGAAAGGATGGACACGCCTGAAGACAAATACATCAAATGAAGAGACTGAGAAGAAGAGCGGCAGAACTCTGGCAGATACGGTCCTAGATGCTGATCTGGGAAATGGAAATTGGGTGGCATTCCGCTTTCGCAAGGATATTAAACCAGAGGAAACTAAGGAGGAGGAAACCGCAATGAGCCTTGATCTAGATGACCCTGGCTGGGATGTGGTTGTACCAAGCTTTGACGATGAAGAGGAGGGACTCGAGGAGGCATAGCGGAAGCATTCTCTGGTACTTCTACTATTATTTTCCCACAAAAGAAGAACAATTGAGGGCGAGAACTCATGGCGCGGGGCGGTCTATTTGCTATCTATGTTGATGGATTTCTTTTCCTTTTTCGGGACGGCGTTATGGTCACTATGGAACTCACGAATAGTTCAATAGACATTCAGAACAAGTATACAATTTGCTGCATAAATTATCTAGGTCCTTAGAGTAAGGTAGATAGATGTCGGAAACTCGACAGCAGACCTCGGGAGGGCCAAACCAACCGCTATCCAAAGCAGTTCCCTCAATAGCCTCCTGGAAAAGGCAATTAATGCAAGGGGTCTGCCAAAAACAATCGTGGAGCAATCCAAGTATCTTCCACACAACATCTATGGATCAAGATCTCGCTGTCATCGCAGCCAATACCCCACACTGATCATGGCCAAGACAAAATGGTGCGTGGGCACTAGCAAAGGGGTACTGTGTCAATAGCCTGAAACACCCTCGTGCCGCCTTCATACTATGCAGAACTGACCGCCAAGCCATAGCTCCACGGCAAAATCAGTACAATCACCACCTTCAACCCTGGTTGCTCGTAGCAACGGAGGATCATTTGTTGACAAATTAGATCGACGCCAGGAGCCTCTTCGGAGAATACTGCATCCCATCCCGTACCCCATACGATACAGCTTGAGATCCACACATTCTTCTCTTCATTATCATCGACAACCTCAACCCCCTGGCTTCGTCGACGCAGGGTGTCGCCCAGCTTATCTGGCACGGCTACAATCACAACACGGCACTACAACGACAACGACAACGACAACGACACAACAACGACACACGAAACACGACACGACACGATACGACACCACCACCATGCCCGTCTCTGATGGCGCTTCCTCAATCAATGTTGCGGTTCGAGTTCGACCCTTCACTATTCGAGAGGCAGCGCAGATCGCCAAAACCGATGACGGGCCTCTTTTTCTCGGCGATGGGTCGCTGGCCGGTGCACCAACCCCGAAGCTCAATCAGAAAGGGATTCGCTCCATTGTCAAGGTGATTGACGACCGATGCCTGTGAGTTTCGATGCGACACCCACCCATCTCCATACCACTGACGCTTTGTTTTCCTAGGGTATTCGATCCTCCAGAGGACAACCCCGTCCAGAAGTTCTCCAGGAGTGTTGTACCCAACGGCAAGCGGGTCAAGGACCAAACATTTGCCTTCGATCGCATTTTCGACCAGAATGCCTCTCAGGGAGAGGTATACGAATCCACCACTCGCTCCCTTCTCGACAATGTCCTCGATGGCTACAATGCCACTGTCTTCGCCTATGGTGCGACGGGTTGTGGAAAGACACACACAATTACCGGCACGGCACAGCAACCCGGAATCATTTTCATGACCATGCAAGAACTATTTGAGCGAATCGACGAGCGATCTAGCGAGAAGAGCACCGAAATTTCGCTCTCATACCTCGAAATCTACAACGAAACCATCCGTGACTTACTTGTCCCTGGGGTATCTAAGGGTGGTCTCATGCTTCGCGAAGACGTGAACCAGGCGGTTTCAGTGGCTGGGCTCTCGAGCCACCACCCTCAGAACGTACAGGAAGTCATGGATATGATTGTACGCGGCAACGAATGCCGTACTATGTCCCCCACAGAGGCGAATGCCACCTCCTCCCGATCCCACGCGGTTCTTCAGATCAATGTTGCTCAAAAGGATAGAAATGCGGATGTGAATGAGCCCACCACCATGGCTACTCTCAGTATCATTGATCTTGCGGGAAGTGAACGTGCGAGTGCGACTAAGAACAGAGGCGAACGGCTATTCGAAGGTGCCAACATCAACAAGTCTCTCCTTGCCTTGGGCAGCTGTATCAACGCCCTCTGTGATCCTCGAAAGCGCAATCACATTCCTTATCGCAATTCCAAACTCACTCGACTTCTCAAATTTGCTCTTGGCGGGAACTGCAAGACTGTGATGATTGTCTGCGTGAGTCCATCAAGCCAGCACTTTGACGAGACACAGAACACGCTGCGATATGCAAACCGAGCCAAGAACATCCAAACCAAGGTTACTCGCAATGTCTTCAATGTCAACCGACACGTCAAGGACTTCTTGGTCAAGATTGACGAACAAATGAAGATGATCACTGAGCTCAAAGCACAGCAGAAGGACGCGGAGCAGCTAGCCTTCGCCAAGTTCAAGAAACAGACTGAGAAGAAGGATGCTGTTGTACGTGAAGCTGTCGCTCGTATTCGCAATGCTTACGAGCACACACTTCCGGAACGACAGGAGAAGACTAGCAATATGCTCAAGCTGAGACAAATCAGCCGCCGTATAGGGATCCTGTCGTCTTGGATCGCCGCTTTCGATAACGTCTGCGCTTCGCGAGATGGCGAGGAGGACTTGGCCAACCTATGGCGGATTCGAAAGACAGCGCAAGGCATCTTGCTCGAACTTGAAGACAGCAGACACCATTATAATCAGCGATTGTCGAAGAACACCTGGGACAGAGCGATGAATTCGGCAGTTGAGAACGCGACCAAACAATTACAAGAGTTCGACATCAGCGACAACAGCGATTTTGCCAACCTGGACCGTGAGGCTGAGGTGTTACGGTCAAATGCAGAACGTGAAGCCTTATCCGCGGTCGTAGACCAGGACAAGGCTGGAGAGGCAGTTGCTGTGCAGGTTCTCTTGCAGGCCCAATTTGAGTTGATGGCATCCATCGAGGATATCATGGAACTCAACGCATCCGAAGCCATCAGAAAGGGTCGCGTTATACTCACCAAGATGCTGGATAGCTGCGAGACAACAGTCTCCAGCCTTGTTAAACCGGATGGTAGCCTACCTGCACTCCAAATACCACCCAGTCCTGTCAAGCCAGCAAGCCCCCCGAAGCCCAAGAAGAGATTCAGTATGACCAGCATGCCACCCCCCAGAACTTCTCTCGAACCCCCAGCTATACAACTTGCCCCGGTAGCACCCCCTTCTCCTACCAAAGGCTCTCCTCGGCGCCGAAAGGCTGCTGCTGCTGGTCGGAAGAGCGTTAGCTTCACTCCGAAGAAAACCCAGGCGAAGGCTGCCAAACGATCAGTCCGCTGGAAGGATGATGAAGAAGATGGCACCCTAACGGAATGGCAGAAGACCCCACAAAAAGCTGTCGATTCTGCCGATGAAGTTAGTAGCTTCGAAGAGCCAACACTACCCAGGGGGGCATCACCAATCCCGCGAAACATTCCACGGATGTCAACTTCTTCAGGCTCAACTTCGCCGCCACCCGCACCCTCTGAAGAGCCCTTAAATATCCCGAAGAATAATGGCCGCTTCAAGGCAGGGTTCTTGTCAAAGCGAGCAGGCAGCTCTCCTTTGGCACCGCCGCCTACAACGAGTCTACCTCTCTCTTCAGACAACGAGAACTCTCCGCTTCGAGACATTGAAGGAAGCAGCTTCCTGAACCGAGCCTCCGCGGATCGGCCATCACGAATTGCCGTCCGCAGCCCGAGCGCAACCTTTTCAAGCAGCCCAGCATCCGAGAACAAGGAATGGAAATCCGATAAGGATGATGCTCTTCAGATCAATTCGGCCATGCGTCGCATCTCCACTTCGCACTTTGGTCCTTCATCCACCAATTCTCTGCGAGTCCATCGCCGCCGCAGCCCCACCTCGAATACATACGGCAGTTCCCCCAATGATGGCCACATGTTCACCGCATCCCAAGCACGCCGTATGGTCAAGAGTGATAAGGAACTTGAAGGCAAGCACCGCGTGCTGAGCCCTCACACTTTACCTGTGATGAAGAATACCGGTCGGCGCACCACCTTGGGAGGTGAAATTCGACCTCGACACGCAAGCCTTTCAGGCCGAGACGCTCCTCGTCTCAGCGCAATTGCTGCACCTCCAATAGACCGAAGTCAGGAGATTTCCTCTGGCGGTCTGCGGTAGATGATTTATTTGACGTTTCTCCGGTACTCCCCATGAAGTATTGGAGCTCGGCATCCCTGGAGTTGGCGCAAAAGATACCATCCTTTTTTTTCTTTTCTTTTTTTTTCAAGCCAGCTGTTCTTTTTTTTTCGGCACGGTTACTCATGGATCTCACGGTGTTTATTTCCACTTTGTTCCTTCACTCTTGTTGTTTTATTATGCTCCCTGATACTGGATGCGTTGCTCGCCCAGCTGTTAAGGATTCTTTATTTTTTCTTCTTTCGTTTGACATATTCTTCTCGTTGTGTACATTACTGAAATTGAAGATATCCCAATGTGGTCCCTACTATTATTTGAACCAGTTCAGATTTTATTATTATTACTATGCTGGTGTGTCAGAGTAGCTGTTTGTAGGTCGTTTGCGGGGAGACCGGATCAACATAGCCCAATGCGGCAGTTGACAGTTTTGGCAGGTTTCCCCGCTGCTCTGCTTTGTCAGATAGGATGACGCCATCTACATACCCCGGACCTACTTCAACTGAACTATTTCTCTTTCTACTCAAAGCTACAAGTGACTGTATTTAATCCCCATTTCTCAGCGTTGGGACTCATCACTTCCTCAATCGCAGTCTTGCCGACCTCGCCCCGTCGCGTCTGCTCCCACTTTCCCCCCACTTTTATATCGAGTTCCCCACCTGGACACCAGAAATTCCAGAAATTCCACAGAAATTCCGATGCCCTTCGCCGCACCGATTGCCTCGACTCTTTTTTCACGCCTTCTCCGTCCATTCTCTACCGCTGCACCGGCCCTATCCCACACCCCGGAGTCTCAATCGCGCAACATGTCCACTCAAACCGCAACCGTAGCAGCTGGCTGCTTCTGGGGCGTCGAGCACCTTTTCCGCAAGCACTTTGGCAATGGAAAGGGACTTTTGGACGCTAAGGTCGGCTACTCCGGCGGCCAGACTAATTCGCCCTCCTACCGCGCTGTGTGCAGTGGCTCTACTGGACGTAAGTCTCCAACAAATTGTTATGCACCGATGTCGCATAGGGTCGCGTGTCGCTATCTAAACCGGGTACTGACCTTCTACTCTTTCTTTCAACAGACGCCGAAGCTCTTCAGATGACCTTTGATCCTTCCCTCGTCACATATCGCCAGCTCCTTGAGTTTTTCTATCGCATGCACGATGCTTCAACCCTGAACCGACAGGGCCCCGATGTCGGCACCCAGTACCGCAGTGTTATCTTCACCCACGGCGAGGAGCAGCAACAGATCGCAGAGAGCATTACCGATAAGGTTAGCAAGGAGTGGTATAAAAAGCCTGTCTCGACCGATGTCGTACCCGCTGGTCAGTGGTGGGATGCCGAGGAGTACCACCAGCTGTACCTAAAGCATAACCCCGCCGGATATGAATGCCCTGCTCAGTAAGTGATTTTACGACCCTCGCGGGAAACAACCCCGTGATTCTCATAATTTGATTGATTGCTAATATTATCTCTAGCTTTATTCGGGACTTTCCGCCTCTTTCCGATTGACTAGGATCCAAATTTTGAGAGCATATATATATGTGGTCCCCAGTCGCTCGTGTGATGACAGAGCGCCATGAGAATAAATTCTCAAATCTGGCATGTGTCACGACTTATGTACCTTTCGATAAAATAAGGGCAACCCATTCATTAATAAATCCTAAACTGTTTATTTCAAAGGATACCCATATCGCCTCTTTTGTCCTTCTTAGACATCTAAATCCCCTTTCTCGGTCGTAGGCTTTCCCCATCAAGATGATGCTACCGAAAAGTCCATCGAGGCTTCTCGGACGCATCTCGCCCAATTAATTTGACTTAGATATAACCACTGGGCAACGAGAATGAAGAAAAATCCAGACAGTGCACCGATCCAAAGCCCCCAGACCGACCAATCCAGACCAAAGGTTAACCCGAATTGGAGAGGGAGGGCGACGATGGCAAAGATACTCGTCTGCAGATAGCTAGCATCCTCCGGTTTGCCAATGCCACCCAGAATTCCATTTGAACTCAAAACCATGCATTCAACAAAATGGGCTGCTGCACAGAGGGGCATCACTTGAGCGACCAATTCAATCACTTCGGATTCAGTCGAAAATATCTTCGCAATCGGGTATCGGAGCAAGGATAGCAATACTATATGCGCTGAAGCGACGCCAAAGGCAACAGAAAGTGCAACTTTGCATACCTTCCAGGCCGCATTGCCGAAACCAAAAGCCATCAGGTTATCAACACGAGCCCGGGTAGTAACTGACAGGGAGTATGGAGCCTGCCATACTATATTGCTCGCTGTCACAAGGATTGTTTGTGTGGCTAGAACGACTGGCCCCAGGTATGAGGAAGCGAGAGTGGTAATTCCGTAAATCAGCGATTCAGCTTCAACAGTGAGCACATTGATAACTGCCAGTCGTATCATCGGGCCCCAATTTGTAAAGGCTCTGCGAGTAAACCCATTCCAACACTCGTCGTGAGATCCCCAGTAGACGTATAAAAAGAGCGTGCTCGGGAGTAAGTAGTCGGTTATCGTCAACGCAATAGGAGCACCGATGAAGCCCAATTCGCAATACTAGTAGGATTTGCGATTAGCACCGTTAGAAATATTGTGCTTGACGAACATACCCAAACTAAGAACCAATTTAAAAACGCATTGATAGGTGCACAGACACTCAATACATATGACGATGCCGAGTACACACCCTGGGCCTGAATGTAGCGCTTCGCTGCCTCAAAAAGTGCGTACCCGGGCGTCCCCCATGCAACGATGCGAAGGTATCGACCAGCAAGAATGGCGGTTTCTTCATTGGAGAGAATGTTGGGGAGGATCTGTTCGGCATAGCTCCAAAGAACGATTATAGGCACGGTGATGATCAAAAGGAGATATACCATCCTTTGAAAATGGATTGCAACCAGATGAAGCATGCCAGTGTCAAATTCTTGCATACACAATGTATCAAGAGCTGCCGCAAGGCCATGGTAGATCATATACCCCGTAAAATTGGCCAGCATACTAGCCATACTCGCAGCTCCGAGCTGGATTGTCCCCAGGCGCCCCACCGCAATGATGCTTACTGTCGAGAGAGAGCATTCAAGCAAAGCTGATAGAGCCAGTGGGGATGTGTCTCGAATTAGACATTTCGATTCGCCTTTCCATAACACCTCATCGCCATTGCCCTCGCCATTACCATTACCATCATTATCACCATCATCATCCAGCAAATCATCCCCTAGCGAGTCATTGTGAATCAAGGGTGTTGTCTCGTTGAATATTTGGTCGGTTGATTGTTTAACCTTAGGAAGGCTCTTTTCAGAGCAGAATATTCCACCAGCATCAGAGAGACCATACACAAGGTTGGAGGAGCTGTTGGTTGTGATTGTATATTCGTTAAATGTGTGATCGACTCTCCGCTTGCCACCTGCACCACTTCCTTCAGCATGAAAAAAGGTTTCGTCGATCGGCATGTGGCTTCTTTTCGATGGTGCGTGTACCCGCACGGAATCTCTATCAAAATCTGTTGGGCTCGCCATTTAGACAAAAATGAAATTCTAGGCACCAGGTTGGAAATGATTAAAGGAGTGAAGGAGGTTTGTCTGGTGTTGACCAGCACGAGGATGAGTTGGGCCTCTAAGGTGAGAAGCCGGAAACAAATTCAGTCTTGTGAAAGGAGGCAAGAAAAAGAGCTGGCTAAAAAAAAAAAATAAGCAACTTCCATTCTCACTCCCGCTGCGTCTACTGTATTTTGATTGTTCCAGGTAAGGGATAATCTACGCAAGGGAAACCTGCGTGTCTGATTGGTTCAGCTGAGACTTTGCTTTTTCTTGTGCTCCCAGCTCTCCGATTTATCGATTTGAATGCGCACTGCCTGCCAGATGGTGGATCTTATGCAGTGCGACCGTAATTCGATAGCGTAATTCTTTCTGCATAGCCATATTTGTATCTGGTGTATTGCACTGTCTTGTATCAGTTCTGCCATTTTGATCAAGTCTTCATACAATATCTAGGTTTGAAAGTCATACATTCTGACTAGAGTAGATGCACATGAGGATGCAGGGACATTCGAACTGTATAAATTACGAAATTCCCTTGTAAGTACATATTACTCCGTACGTCAAATAGTATCGTGGTTTCGTCGGTGTTGACACCCACAAGAGACAATTTAAAAATACAACAAGCAGAACAAATAAATCGCATTAGTATCTTAAACAATCTTGAGATAGGTACAAAGGAAACCATTCACTAGGGATTATTATCTCCACAGGGGTAGCCACATTGACTTCATCCTTAGAAGCCGATAATGCATGTCCAATAGCCAAAATAAGCTAGTATCCCACGGTAGCCTTCGGGGTGTATAGGTCTTCCAGGTACTGCAAGTCCTCCTTGCTCAAGAGTCCATCTTGAAACAGTTCGATGGCTTGGACTGCCTCATCGACTCTCTTGGTACTGGAAAGTCCGACAATGGGGTTCACACCCTTGGCCAGACACCACACGATGCCGATCTGCGCCATACTGCAATTCTTCCTGCTCGCCAGCTCTTCCACACGACCGATGATAGCGATGTCAATGTCCGTGGTTTTGCCGATCAGCATTTCTGCAGTGATGTCGTCCCCTTCCCGCACGGTCTTTTCTCCAGCCGCAGTGAAAGGTCGAGTCAGAAGGCCACGTGCCAGTGGTGACCAAGGAATAATACCAATTCCTGCGTCACGGCAGTAGGGGAACATTTCACGCTCTTCCTCTCGATAAAGAAGCGAATGATGGTCTTGCATGCTGATAAACTTATGCCAGCCATTCTTTTCAGCGATATTGTTCAAGGCTTGGAACTCCCAAGTAGCCATCTGTCCCAATAATCGTTAATTCTCCGTCTCGGGTTTGTTGAATGGAAAAAAGTCACTGACCGAGCTTGCGCCAAGGTATCGAACTTTGCCACTCTCGACAACATCATTGAGTGCTCGCATGATTTCCTCGCCGGGAGTTTCGCGATCGAATCGATGAATCTGAAGGACGTCCAGATACGTACCTAGTCTCGCGACGCTGGCATCTACCGCATCGAAGATGTGTTTGCGAGATAGTCCAACACGGTTCGCCATGACACCCTCGTTGATAGCTAACCGGGCAATCGTTTCGAATTCCGACAAGCCATCAAGCTCTCCTGGAGCTGGAACTCCACCATAACATTTGGAAAGGATCACAACCCGTTCACGAGGAATGTTATATGTCTTGAGTGCTTTGCCAAGGATGCGCTCGGATTCCCCGAAGGCGTAGACATCGGCCTAGAAAATAATGAGTGAGCTTCTAACTGAGTAAAAGAATATAAGGTTGTAGTACTTACTGTATCCCATGTGTTGAGTCCTTTGTCAAAGGCATGCTTGATAATCGGCAATGCTTGTTCCTCGGGGATCGTCCACTTGTCGACTGAACCAAACGACATAGCACCTAGAACAACTTGGGAGATCTTAAGACCGGATTTCCCTAAACTTTTGAATATTGTTAGCAGGGTAAGCAGTTGAAAATGGGAGACGTACTTGGTGTGCTTGATGCCCTTGTGGGCTTGATGTAGAGATGAGAAATCCATTGCTGATATTAGGAGGATATTTAATTGAGTGATTGATTGTTCTGATGTGTGTGCTGGAAATTGAATATGAAGGATTTTGGCGCCACTTATATATGTTTTGGAATCGCTATGTTTTATATCCTCCATATCGCCAGATGAACAAGTATGTTGGCTGAGTTGAGCAAGATGGAAATGCATGGCCCGGAGTTAACTTTTGCGGTCATCCGATTGGTCGGACTTTGCGGATGCTCAACTCAGCATGCATTAGCGCCGTATGTACAGGGTTTTCATTGGACAACAATTGAGGTAAGTGGGGCACCTGGGCACTTTTGAATGGCAGTTTCCAAAGTGAAGGATGCTCCAGTGATGTGTAGTAGGACTCGATTATGATGATCTGGTGTGCAAGCTCAGTGGATTCGTGGACCCGGCCACCTTCCAGAACTCTGATTCCTCTCACCAAAAATAGGGCAGCTGATCGCCTCTGCTTTCATGCCACCATCGGCTTTGCTGGAAAAATCCGCCCTCCTCTCCACCAAGAACGAACCACCATTTCTTAAGAAACCAAGGTTGAGCCTCCCAGCTTCGCATATCCCAAGGTGCTCCTGATCCACTCGCATCGTGCTTCTCCCCTGAGTGCGAACCCCAACAAATGATGCCACCGTTTTGGAGGTCCACGCAGAACTCGTCGGCGTTGAATACTGAGGGGCCCATAGATACCAGGCGGATATACCTGTCGCGGAAAATGGGACACGGGAAAATATCGAGCCAAGGATGGTGAGGATAGTTCAACTGTGTCTCGGTTGGTCGTAGATGTGGCTTTATCCCTTGAAACCCCGCAGAGCAAATAATCTGGTTTTGGTCTTTGGCAAGAGCGCTAGCGTAGTAGAATGGTGATATCGATTTAGGATGGGTAATCTCTTCGAAAGTTAATCCAATAGATTCTGCATTTGCTCGAATTGCGGCCACGGTAGAGAACTGCTTCCAGCGGAAATTATTGGCGTACATATCTGGCAGTGAATGAAGATGCACCTGCATGCTGTTATTTGGAACAAGAATTTTGTCCGTCCGTGGACCGGGGATCCACGATTGATTTGAGGAGCTTTCTGCACGGGTTAATGTGGTTTGTGTTGGTTGCCGATCGAGCTCATTCAGCCCAGCCTGTAGAATATCCCCGATGGTAATTTCTCCGGATTCCACTCTTGCTCGGGTAGATTCATTGGTATGAGCAGCATATTTTGCAATTAATGCCAAAGCCTCCGATTGGCTTGAAGGGTCGAGTCTTGAGAGAGAGCCTTTGGTGTCCTGGGAAGGGCTGATTGCGGTCATAGCGCCAGGATTTGAAGGCGAACATCCACTTTTTATCAACATTGATTCGTCACGAGCCAGGTGGTTTTGAGCAGCCAGGAGCGTCTCAAGAGCTTGCATATGTTGCTTCTGTCTTTCTCCTCAGTCTAGAATGAGACTTGACGTTTCGATTGGAATGCGGGCCACATACTGTAGTTTTTCTGAGCTCGTACATTCTGCTGTCGCCGTCGGTCGCTGACGGGCCTTTTAGGCTGTACCTTGTCGGCCATTGTAGCGGTCGATCTATTCTTAAGATTTCTCACACGGGTATCAGATGGATAACCACAAGGAGTGCATCGATAGTGAAGGTAGGTGAGAAAGGGGAGTTCAAGAGATGTTGGCCGTAATTGGCCACCACGGGGGCGGGCGGTGACTGGTCAGCATTATCTACATATGTACAGACAGCCAAGTACTTTAACGTCGGGATCATTGAGACCTCGAGTCAATTTGATCTGGGTCTCGGATGGTAATTATTTATTTGATTCTGTAGTTAAATTGCTTTTTTGCAAACAACTATGTTTCCGGGTTTCTATATAGCCAAACTGAGACACAGCCTACATAGTGAGGGTCTATGTGAGGAGGTTGTATTACATGCACAACCTTAGTTGACCAGAGCATATTTCTCCAGCGCATCATGTAACTTTCCAAATACACCTTCATGCCAAGTTTTTGCCTCTTCCCACTCATGTGCCGGCAGCGTTCCATGCATCATCCGCAGCCATGCGCCAACAATAATATCGGCATAATTAGCCTGCTCCCCAAGCAAGAATGGACCCGTATTATCCTTTCGAAAAAGCTTGGCCAGTCCACCTAGTGTATCATGAAGAGACACTTTCAATTCCTCTCGTTGTTCGCCACGTACGGTTAGGTTGTCCCAAGATGCCACCCCTGAGCGTCGAACGAACTCTGCCCTTGTTTTCTCGGTCGTGTCGGGGTTAAATGGGAGACCGTGTACCATGAGCAGAACGTGTGCACTAAAGGCCGCATCAACATTCATGTTAAACCGAGCGTACTCGGCATGTTCCTTTCCATTGAGCTCAGACAATGGCGCAAACATCGCGAGGTCCTTCGCGTAGACATAGTCCAGCGTTTGCTGAGGGAAAAGATTCCCTGCACCAGTTTTCGGATACACACTTTGAAGGAAGACTGCAATATCGAATGAATCCCCGATTTTAGAGTCATATTTTGAGTTTGTCATTACCGGTAAAGTGTGGTAATCCGTGCCATCAGCAAACTTGCGTGAGGCTGGCACGCCAAGATCACAGCGAATTTTGGTGATGTCTGGCATGTCTACCCATGTTGTTGAGTAAGAAACACCTTTGAAGTTAAGTGCATACCGGGCCTTCCAGGGATTCGGTGCGCATGGAGGACGCATGTCAATGTCGTACAACACAATAGTGGGAGAAGGGGTTGTGGCCCCCATGCTGGGTGGTGTATGAAGAGTAGATGTTGATCTCGGTGATTCAATTGGTCAAACGGCGTGCGTTTGAAGCACGCAAGGCACACAGTGATTCAAAATATTCTTTTTTTTAGAAAAAAAAATATGAGAATGTGCCTTCAACTGCTGGCAAGCCAAGGTGGAGGTGGCGGCCCCTCGCTCACACACCGCTTTTCGGCCCTCTCAGGGAGCAGGGTTACCTCCCATAATATTCCCCTAATCATAGATGGATTTCTAGAATTCAGATAATCTGAAATTACCGGCTTTCCAAGTTCATTCCATTATGGCTGTTCCCGATATTGCAACGGTCAAACTGAAATTGGGACCTTACTGGAGTTCCACAAGTGACCAGGGTCCAACGTGATCCCCGTCATTGGAAACGTCAGAGCAAGGATGTTTCAGACCAATCACATTGAGACAAAAATGGTTACTCGTATAAAGAATGAGATTTGGTATTGTGATACAGTATCTACACATCACCTTAAATCTGTATCGTGATTTCCAATATTTGCCTTCGACGGAGAGAGAAGAATAGTATCATGATATACCCACTAATGAAGATTTCACCATGGTGAGAACATGGATACGAACAACTTGGCGTAACTCAACACGTATCCACTCGATCAGCCACCAAGCCACTAGATGGATTCAAAGAAGGCTCGGGAGTCTCCGGTGAATGTCGATCTAGTGGATCCGAAGTCATTATCAGTGGCGATCACATTGGATCTACACCATCGTCACGGTCTAGTGTTAGAAGCCCGTCTATAATGAGGTATGGAAACCACAAATGAGCTGCGGGTCTTGTCGGTGGAGGAATGCTTTGTTAGCAAGCTCATATCCATAGAGGTACTAAAGGTAAATGTTACATTTACTACTATTGTTCACAGATCTCGTAGACCGGGTCATTATATGATAAAAGAGTTCAATTAGATCATTATCAGATTTCGTATTATTATGAAATATTTTCAAGGCAAGTCTATCGGAAGGGTATGTGCAAATTCTAAGTCTAGCAGTTAATCACGGACCACCAAGCCGTAGAATGAGGCCGCCGTCGGGATCAAAACGCCCCAGAAAATAGCCTGCATAGTACCTCCATCGTCCCATCCAGCTTTTGACGCCGTCATTCGACCGAGAGTTCCGCCAACGATGCCCATCCAGACGACGAAGAATCCAAGATCGTTCCATCTTTTCCAAGCTTGTCCGCGCTTGGTCATTTCGCTAGTCGATCGCATGGAGGTTCCCCATCCGTCTTGGAAAACGGTAATCAAACTCCAAAGATGGATCATCGGGAGAGGAATATTGTAGAACAGAAGACCGGGAACTATCCAAATCCACGAGTTCTTGGGGCCACGGTCTGGGTTGCGGCAATAATTATAGATGAGGGTATAAGCAATGCGAATACCAACATCGTACCAGTTGAAGTAGGCAAAGCATTCTCCGGTGATCAGATAGTAGAGAATATAGGCGAGTCCCAGGAGAGGTCCGGCCTCTCGCTTGACAGCAGCCCAGAAAAAGAGTGGGTTAGTAATAAGATAGAGCTTGGGTTGTTGGAAGGATTCAATGTGACCGGCTCGGCTCCAGCGGACCTGCTGCATGATCCAGCGACTCATTGTGGTTGGGGTATCTGTTGCTGCCAATGTGTCAGACGCGTAGGTCACGGTCCATCCTCGCATGAGAAGGTTTGTGGTGAGGTGGCGATCCTCGTTGACAATCTGAGCTATGATGTTAAAAAATTGCATGTAAATGACGAGAAACAGGAAAAGAGACATACCATTCGATGGCCCAGGACAGTTTGAGTGTACCAAGGGTACAGAACTGCAGGCAGAGCGGAAACACGGAAAGCCGTGCTGGGACCACTTTGACAATCGCTCGTACCGGAAAGTGTTGAAACAGAGCGCGTCATGTATAGCTCAGACCAGTACACAACGCTACCAAGCTTGGTGCAGATAGAATCATCCTCATTATGGACAATCAGACCAGAACTACCGCCACCAACATGCGTATCTCCTGCGATAGTATCGATGGTACATCTCAGTGAGTCGGGTAATACAATTGTGTCGGAGTCAGAGGACCACATATACTCGATTCCCAGAATCTCAGAAATGACGATGGAAAAAATGAATGAAGTGAACATAATGCCCTTCTTGTGCAAGTGTGGCTGGTAGAGACATAGCTTTGTCACACCGCCATGTTGGCCAAGCTTGAAATCATGCTCTGCGAGGATTTCTCTGGCAAGTTGACAGCAATGAGCGATAGTAGCTTCCATGTAGGCCTCCGGGGCCCGCGAATTTCCATCGATGGTGGATGTCTTCTCGTAAGTATGCATGGCGACCTCTCCAAAGGGCTCGTCAATGTGAATGACCGCTGAATCTTCTGGGAAGACCTGTAATTGATCAGTATGGAAGTACCAGTCTCGTTTATTTTTCTACTCACCTGTTGAAAAACTCGTATCATTTCCATGTCGGGTACATCGTCTCCATCGACTCCCACAAGTACTAATCGGCACTCGGGAATATTTTTGTAACTTTCCAAAGCTCTAGCAAATAGCTCAGGGTCTTCACGGTAGCCCACAATAGTGGCCATGCATTCTGCGCCTTCATTCAGCTTGGGTGACAAAATGCTAGCCTTTTCTAGGTCTTGGTCCTTCTGCGGAGGATCCTGCAGCTTTTGCCGACGACCCTCGTTCATGAAGCGATTAAACTCCGCCGAGAATATTGTCAAAAGGATATCAAGTGTCAAAGGATGACGCGCGTAGCCCGTGATGACCGAGTAAATAGGAAGTACAATTAGACATCCTAATAAATTAAGGATTTGTCGAAAACGAGAGACTTCTGGCCCTCTCTCGTGAAACGAGGAGAGGCGAGGATACAACTTTTCACTGAAGGAATCCATGGTGATGGTTTAACGAAAGTCAATACAGAAAAACACACTTGCCACTCACTTACCCCGTTAGCTACCTGAGTGCTGGCGGGGGTAGGAAAGAGAGTGCGAGTGCGTCGTTATGTGTGCAAGTCAATATTTTGAATAATGAATTTTCCCTCCAATACCGGAGAAGATAAATCACGAGATGGTAATCAAGGAACGAATGAGGATAAAAATAGCGAAAACGAATGTGGTGAGAAAAACGAATGTCAAAATGTAAATAAAATTTTAAGGCGTCCATGGAAGTACGGCACCCCTCCAATCTTTTTAGGCCCAGAGTCAAGCGGCTGAGTAAATTCTTCTCTCACGCCAGCACACACCGTCTAGTTAGCATCGCGTTAGTTCCATTTATTCTTCAGGGGCTTGTGATTTCCAATTCCCGGTCAGCCCGGTCAGGCAGTGAGACCTTGCTCGTGTTGTCGTAGGGAAGGAGTACGACCGGCCAATGAACGAGCAGAGAAAGGAGCCGCATGGCTCGGTTCCGGTCCGCACCAACCCGAAAAGTGAGATCCTGGCTCGGAGATGTCTTCTAGGGCTGGCTAGGCTGGCTAGTGGCTACCCAGACCCTCGGTAGTCGAGAAAATCTCGTGAGACAGTGGAGGCTTAGTGGGGTTGTGTTGCAACTTTCCAGGGGGAATCCCCGTTTACCCGATCCTTGGCGAGTTGCTAAGATCTGAGATACTCCGAAACTGAGAAAAAAAAAGGAGGGGCTCATCTTTTT